AAGCTCTACAGGAAATTGAAACAGTACCTTTTATTGAAACAAGGAATGTTCAAATTTGTTTACTGTTAAGACAAGTGCAAAATAGTATTAAATCTAGAAAATATCCTTTCTATATAGGACATCTAAGGGTGCATAGTGGTCTTCCTGGACCATTAGCTTTGGGGCATGCCTTGGTGGATTTAGCCACTCAGCTTACAGGATTGACTCAGGTAGAGAAAGCTACAAATTCTCATGCCATTCATCACCAAAATAGCCAAAGTTTGAGAAAACAATTTCATATTACTAAGGAAGCTGCAAGACAAATTATGCGACAATGCTCTTGTCCTCAAACACAAATTGTTCCTCATTATGGGGTTAATCCTAGAGGGCTGAAGCCTAACCAATTGTGGCAAATGGACATTACTCATGTTGCGGATTTTGGCAGGCAAAGGTATGTACATGTTACAATAGATACATTTTCTGGCTTTATTATGGCTACTGCGCAAACAGGGGAAGCCATAAAAAACGTTATAATTCATTGCTTGACTTGCTTTTCCATAGCTGGGATCCCTAACGTTATAAAAACAGATAATGGCTCTCACTATACCAGTCAGGGGTTCCAGCGTTTCTCTTTGCAATTGGGCATTGAGCATAAAACTGTGATACCATATAACCCACAAGGACAAGGTATAGTGGAAAGAGCGCATGGTACTTTAAAAGCACAATTACAAAAAATAAAAAATGAGGAGTTATATCCCCAGACACCAAGTAATCTTTTGCATCATACTCTTTTCATTTTAAAATTTTTGAATTTGGATAAAAATGACCACTCTACAGCAGATAGAATGTGGCATCCTCAGTCACAGGATACCTACGCCCAAGTCAGGTGGAAGGATCCTTTAACTGGACAATGGAATGGCCCAGACCCTGTATTGATATGGGGAAGAGGGCATGTTTGTGTTTTTCTGTAGGACGCAGATGGAGCCAGGCTGGTGAGGTTCGCCGGACGAGCGCCAAAGAAAAAGAATGATGAGGCGACAAACGTGGCTGATGATGATGTTCCTGCAAGTGATCTTGGCTGAGTTATACTGGACTTATGTTCCTGATCCACAATTTTGCACCCCGCGATATGGGATGAAAAAGAGATAGTAGTGACTGTGAATGACTCTTGGTTAATTGCTCAACCTGCTTCAAAACGCCTGATGATGCAAGTGATGATGAATTTTTATTATTTTGGATTGGGAAGCGGGTTGCCTATTTGTTTTGTTAAAAATAATAAGTCTGGGTGTGTACAAGTAGATGACTGTGTGCTTGTGGGACAAAGTGGATATTGTACCAATGTCAAAGTGTTATTGCCAAGAGATAATAGAAAGAAAAAATTCTCCGCATTTCCACCCTGTAAGCAGCGGCAGATATTCTAAAAAGGTTGAGAGCCACCTACCATCGTGGTCCTATGGTTTAGTGGGACTTGGCATGCTTTTCCTCCTGTCTTTGTTTTCATCTGGTGGCAGTAAAGTTATTTATGAAATCCTGTGGCAAGTCAAGCTGCTGTGCATGATATGAGATTGCGCTCCCTCCCCAGAGGCTGGTAGTCAAAGACGGGTAAGATCTTCTGGGAGAAAGTCAACCTAAGACAGGGCATAGCTGATGGAAGCTACGTGCCAATGAAGGGTAAGGCTTTGCTCTAGCAGATGACAACCTAAGACAGGCACGGTCCTTCTGTCCTGGATATAGCATAATCTGGGGTTATAAAAAATAAAGAAGGGGGAGATGTCGGGAGCTATTAATCCATCATGTACATTGAGCTGTGGCAGGCTTGTTTACTGAGTTTGTGTTCTGCACACCAGTACCTAATCTGCCAAATCAGGAGGAATGTGTTTATATGGAGAGCCTCACAATATCTGACCTGGAGGCAATAGTGGCAGACAAAAAGATCAAAGAAGCCTTATAAAGTATCTGACCGCTCCTTGACCCTCAGTTACAGGTGGGAAAAACAGCTGTTGAAACTAATTGAGTTCTTCTGTATAAAAAGGCAGAGCTGAAATAAACCGGGGCTGGAGTCTCTACTGACAGTCCTCCCAAGTATCCTTTCTGTCTCTTATTTTTTCTTTCAATCCTCACTCCCCCTTTCAGGTACTGTCCGTCTTGGCCGGCTGGCCCCGGCATCTAGTTACAACATTTATGATATGGAATGTATACTTAATGACCTAGTATACTCAGTAAGGATCAGCAGAGTAGGGGATTTCTGGCTTAAAACAGAGTTCTCATTTGCAATGTGTTAGAATTCTAGCTAAGAGATATGATCATAAGCACTGCTGGTAACACACAATAATAGAAGCATAGGTTATCTTTACAGGGTCTCAAGGAAAAAGAAGCCGGGTGTGGGGGCACACACCTATAGTCCCAGCACTTGGGAGGCAGAGGCAGGTGGATCTCTGTGAGTTCAAGGCCAGCCTGGTCTACATAGTGAGTTCCAGGTCAGCTGGGGCTACAGGGAGACCCTGCTTCAAAAAGACAAAAAAAAATTGTTTTAGTTGAAAAAGTTAAGTTTGAAGAGGCGGGACAAGGGGAACATGGGCATGAGGAAGAAGATCCACCTGGACCTGAGGAACCGGACCCCAGCAGCTGTTCGAGAACTTGTCTTGGACAATTGCAAATCAAATGATGGACAAATTGAGGGATTAAGAGCTGAATTTATGAACTTAGAGGTCCTCAGTTTAATAAGTGTAGGCTTGATTTCAGTTTCAAATCTCCACAAGCTACCTAAACTGAAAAAGCTTGAGCTCAGTGATAACAGAATCTTCAGAGGGCTAGACATACTAGCAGAAGAACTTCCAAATCTCACACATCTAAACCTAAGTGGAAATAAACTGAAAGATATCAGCAGCACCTTGGAACTTTTGAAAAAGTTGGATTGTCTGAAAAGCCTGGATCTGTTTAACTGTGAGGTCACTAATCTGAATGATTACCGAGAGAGTCTTCAAGCTCCTGCCTCAGCTGACCTACCTGGATGGCTATGACCGAGAGGACCAGGAAGCCTCTGACTCAGATGCGGAGGTGGATGGTGTGGATGAAGAGGAGGAGGATGAAGAAGAAGATGAGGATGGTGAGGAGGAGGAGTTTGATGAAGAAGAGGATGAAGATGATGAAGATGGAGAAGGAGAAGATGATGAAGATGAAGTCAGTGGGGAGGATGAAGAATTTGGACATGATGGAGAAGTTGACGAAGATGAGGATGAGGAGGAAGATGAAGAGGAGGAAGAAAGCGGGAAAGAGAGAGAAACAGATGATGAAGGAGAAGATGAATAAGACCCCAAACAACCTGCAGAAACAGAACTGTTCAGTATTGGTTGGACTGCTCATGGATTTGGTAGCTGTTTAATAAAAGGTAGCTGTGATACCCCAGGACACCCACCCACCCAAAGAGCCAAAGAATAGTTCCTGTGGTGTTCCACCGTCTTCCATTCAGTCCCTCTTGGTACTCCACCACCAAGAAAAGTGTAAATGTTGTTAGGTTTTCCTGTACAACTCTTGCTGTAGCCTGGATAGCTGTATTGGTGAGTCAACCATCCATGGCTACCAGTTACACTGAGATTGTAATAACATTTTTACTTTCTGTACAACAAGAAAAAGCTCTGTAAATAAAATCTTAACATTTTGAAAAAAAATGTTTTAGTTATTGTGCAGACCTAGAGATACAAGGAGGCCAGTTGAAGGGAAGTTTCAGGAATCTATGTAAGACGTGATGGTGGTTTGGGTTCAGGTGGCAACAGCAGAGGTGACAAGTGGTCAGATTTTTTTTAGGTAGAGGTGTCAATATTGAGGTGATAGCTCAGTCAGTAAAGTGTTTGCTGTGACATCACAAGGACCTGAGTTTCATCCCTGGAAGTCATGTAAGAAAGCTGTGGCATGGATTTACAAGCCTAGCACTGGGAAACTGGGCATGCAGAAGCAGGCAGCTCTCTGGAGCTCACTGGCCAGCCAGCCTAGTGGACTTGGAGAGCTCTAGAGCGGTGAGAGACTATTTCAAAAACCCAAGTAGATGCTTCTAAAGAAAGACCCCTATGGGGGTATAAAGATGATTAAGATTGGGGCTGGAGAGATGGCTCAGTGGTTAAGAACACTGGTTGTTCTTGGAGAAGACCCAGGTTCGAATCCTAGCACCCACATGGCAGCTAACAACTGTCTGTAACTCCAGTTTCAGGGGATCCAGCAGCCTCTTCTGTCCTCTGCGGGCATTGCATGACATGGGTGCACTTACCTACATGCAGGCAAAATATGCATACACATAAAATAAAAATAATAAATAAAATATTTAAAAATATTTTTAAAAGATGATTAAGATTGTTTGAGATATTCTGTATAAAATACAAAAAATTCAATAAAAATGAATTAAAAAAAAAAGCCAGGTGTGGTGGCACACGCCTTTAATCCCAGCACTCAGGAGGTAGAGGCAGGCGGATCTTTGTGAGTCTACATAGTGAGTTCCAGGACAGCTGGGGCTACAGGGAGACCCTGTCTCAAAAGGACAAAAAAAAGAAAGACCCTTGAGATTGACCTCTGGCCTCCACAAGCACAAACACACATGTACCCACACACATGTGAACATACACATAGACTGAAAGGAGGCCAAGAGATGATGAAAGTTTTAGCCCAAGTAGCTTTAAGTAGAAAGAACACAGGCCCTGAATCAGGCTTTAAACCTAGTCCCAAATCCATTGCTTCTGGATTATGTAACTTGAGGTGTCATTGAACCTCTTTGACCACCATTTTCTTCATGAGTAGAAAGTGATAATGGGGCTAGGGATGTGGCTCAGTTGGTAGAGTGCTTATCCAGCATGCCGAAGGCCCTAAATCCAGTCCCACATCAACCTGGGTGTAGTAGAGCACTCCTGGAATCCAAGCACTTGAGAAGCAGAGGCAGAAGGATGAGAAACTCAAGGATTAGCCTTGATGACACAGTAATACTGAGGTCAGCCTGGGCTACATGAGACCTTGTATCAAAGAGGGAGGAGGAGGAAGAGAAGGAGGGAGAGGAGGAGGAGGAAGAGATGAAGAGGATGAGGAGGAGAGAAGAAACAAAAGAAATGAAAGGAAGGAAGGAAGGAGGGAGGGAGAGAGGGAGGGAGGGAAGAAGGGATCGTGGTTGGGCATGGTAAGCTCATGCTGTGATCACAGTAGTCAGAGACTGAGACAGGAGAATTGCCATGAGCTGAAGACCAGACTGATCTATGTAGTGAATTCCAGGCCAGCCTCAGCTACAGGGTGAGACCTTATCTCAAAGCAAATCAATAAAATAAATGAAAATGAAAGTCTGGAGCTATGGTTTAGTAGTTAAGAGCACTTACTGCAGTTTCTGAGGATCTGACTTCAATTCCTATCTCCCACATCTGGCAGCTCACAACCATCTGTAACTTCAGCCCCAGAGGATCTGATGTCCTCTTCTGGCCTCCTCAGGTACCTGCACATACATAACATAAACACACACACACACACACACACACTTAAATCAAAATAAATCTAAAATGCCAGTCGTGGTGGTGTATGTCTTAATCCCAGCACTTGAGAGGCAGAGGTAAGTGAATCTCCATGAGTTCCAGGCCAGCTAGATATATACGGAGAAACAGAGAGACCTTGTCTTTTTTTTTCAAATATATTTTATTATTTTTATATTATGATGTGTATGAGTGTATTACCTATATGTATGTGAGTACACCCGTGTCACGCAATGCTGTGGAGGTCAGAAGAGGGCTTCCGATTCCCCTGGAATTGGAGTTAAGGACGGTTCATAGCTGCCATGTGGGTGCTGGGAATTGAACCCGGATCCTCCGCAAGAGCAGTCAGTGCTCTTAACCACTGAGCCATCTCTCTAGCACCTTGTCTTAAAACAAAATAAAAGCTAAAATAAGTGACAATGATAACGATGGTAGTGATGGTAGAGGCATGTCCTTTGCAAAGCCATGAGAACTGAATGGGGCCTGGTTAAGAGCACTGGCTGTTCTTTCAGAGGACCAGGGTTCAATTCCATCACCAACATGGTGGTTAACAACAGTTCATAACTCCCCTTCCGGGGGATCTGATGCCCTCTTCTGAACTCCTTCGGCACTGCATGACATGGGTGCATTCACATGATGCAGGCAATACACTCATAAAATTAAAATAACAAGAAATATTTTTTTAAAAGTGGAGGCTAAAGCCGGTGTGGTGGTGCACGCCTTTAATCCCAGCACTTAGGAGGCAGGAGCAGGCGGATCTCTGTGGAGTTCAAGGCCAGCCTGTTCTACACAGTGAGTTCCAGGCCAGCTAGGGCTACAGAGAGACCCTGTCTCAAAAAGACAAAAAAAAAAAAAAAAAAAGTGGAGGCTCAAGAGATGGGCTCAGCAGTTAAGAGCATTTGCTGCTCTCCCAGACAACCCTGGGTTTGATTCCCAGCATGGGGGCTCACAACCACCCACAACTCCAGTTCCAGGTAAATCTTGGCTTCTACAGGCACCAGGCATGCACATAGTATAAACATGTATGTGCCGGCACTTACATATACACATAAAATAAAAAATTAAGGAGCTGGAGAGATAACTCAGTGGTTAAGAGCACTGGCTGCTCTTGTAGAGGACCCAGGTTCAGTTCCCAGCATCCACATGGTGGCTACGAACCATCCTTAACTCCAGTTCCAGAGAATCTGATGCCCTCTTCTGACCTCCATGGTACATCACATGCACATGGTGCACATATGTACATGCACAAAAACACTCATACACATAAAGTTAAAAAAAATCTAAAGAAGAAAATCAATGTTCAAGCTTGATGAACACTCCAAGCACAAGGTTTATGTTTGAGTGTCAGGGCCAAATCATGAACAAGAACGTATA